ACTACAGGCAACACATCAATTAACTCACCTGAAGCAACCTACAAGAGTCTATGCAAGTTTATTCATCACACTAGAAATAAGCTTTTACTCTGCACCAAACTTAGATTTTAAGAGGAAACAAGAGCTAGACAGATTATTGGTCAGCTAATTTAAAAACTGGAATCATTTGAGTATAATGGCAACAGCATTCTGAGATTTTAACATGTAAATATGAATAATAAAGCATTTTTTTAAAKTAAAAATTAAAGCTTTTCCTCTTYATCATTCAACATACACATGTACCTTGAATCATCTCGCTGATTTTATTACATATTCCGACAGCAAAATCCCTGTGGAGGAAAGAAAGTATCAGGTGAAATGAAAAAAAATTAAGTAATTAAAAATTTTAAAAAATAAAATTCAACTGAACTACCAAACACTGTTCTAACAATGAAAACTTTCCTAACAGAGTGCCTGCGAAAACCTAAATATTTTCGGATCCCCTGCACATAGGCATGACCAAATGATAAAACGAATGCTTTCAAAAACTGACAAACAGTGCTACAATTTGCTCCTTAATATAATTTCTGTAAAATAATTCATGATTAGAGCTGCAATTCCACTTCACATTCTCATATTTATGAGCTTTCTATTTTAGGAAAGAAAAAAATCTTCTGAACTTGCATTGAGATTTCTTTATTATACTGTTATKGCACATAATTAAGTGTTTTGCTATAAAGGACAGCACAATAGAAGAAAATAGTAGGGTTTGTGAATGTCAGTGTTAATGGAATTTCCATTTTCTGCAACATGAAAAGGAGAAAAAGAATAGATCTTACTTAGATTGTGCAGAAAAGTTGGCAGCAGCAAATATAGCTGCTTCAACTTCCACATTATCATGGGAATCCAAACTCTGACGAATACTGTGATGTGCATTCTTCCTTTCTGGAATGATAGATGCCATGCTGCCCAACATCCTACAGAAGTAAATCACAGCAAAATCAGGAAGAACAATAATCATGAAGAAAAGATGAAACAAAAAAAATTGCAAAAGGACTGGTTAAAAGGCAATTTATATGTGTGTATATATATATATATATATATTATATATATATATATGTATGTGTTCTTTCATGACTATTAGAAACAAACAAATGCTAAATGCATATAACGAAATATGACAGATTTTGTCATGTGGGTTATGTCAGTCGTTCAGCAAAAATTTAATCACATTTTGATACTTTTCAGCTTGAAATTGGCACAATGAGAAACTTACCAAAAACTCTTTTAAAGAGTGCACCATGGCATGACTTGTTTCCAAGATCTTTCACTGATGTAGGTTAAGATCATTAGTGAAAACAGTGCAACACCTTTTGTGTAAATGTTAAAAAAGTAGCAAATCAACTTACATGTTGCCAAAAATATTTCAAAGATACCTTTCAGGCATATTTAGCATAATTCAGTTAAAAGAATGAATGCAAGATTTATCCTGATGGTCATTTTAGCATGAGTTCTGTGCAAATATTTACACACAGTTATCTAGCAATAAAATTCCACAAAGTTTTGCTTTAGCAACTCTTTCTTYCAACATGTTCTTCCTTATTGACACTATTCTAGGACAAAGAAATCAACAGAAGATTTTAAACTGAAACTGCTGAGCCAACAGCCATTTAAAGATTTTACTTAATGTATCCTGTGAATTTGTTAGTAATTTAAGTATTTTTGCAAACTGAGAGGRTTCCTGGGACTTGTAGCAGTCTGCATTAAGCTCCCTTAATGCCAGTCAACAATTGCTGTCTTATGTTAAAACACTGAAGTGGAACTATAAGAAAACATGCAAACACATTGTATTTACAGATTTCTGAGACACCAGGGCATGAAACCATAATCTCAAACGAAATATCGAAAAAAAAAAAGAAATGGACATGAGCTAATCAATCAAACCCCTGTTAATGTCTCCCATCTCCCACTAGTGAAATCAGTAACAGTTCTAGATGGAGATAAGAGAAGTGCCCTCTTCACATTTGAATTCACCTTCACAGGGGCTGGAAGATGCAGTGGAAAGGATCATGCTGGATAGAGAGAGAGACAGACATTCCAAACAAGCAGGACAGTGACATGAAAGACACATTATTTGTTTGCCCACTTGATTCCCTGAAGTTCAAAGCAACCAGTAATACAACAGCACTTCCTTAGAAGTTATTGATCAGAGATGACAAGCAGAAAACTTCTAGGACAATGATGAATGAACAACAGGCACAAGCATAACAAGGCTCATGTAAGTTTTGGTTACAAGTTAACAAAAGCTATTTTGACACAAAAGGAAGCACTTGCACATGGTCTAAACCCATCATAGGCAACATGATATATCGCATATAGCTACCATCTGAGTTATGCATACAACAGATTCAGTGTCCTTCTCTGGAGTACACAAAATTGCAACACTGCAAATTCTGTTTTGCCTGGGACCATCCACAAAATTCTCACCATCATAAATGGTTAATASACTTGTTCCTGTTTTCACAGATCCTTATCATTCACCCCATTYAAAGACAGATGTCTTTGCTTTTAACTCTATAAGCAATTTATAAAAAGCCTCCTTTAGTTCACTCACAGAATCAGAGAATGCCTTGGGTTGGACAGGACCTTAAAGATCATCTCGTTCCAAACCCCTTGCCATGGGCAGGGACACATTCCASTAGACCAGGCTGCTCAGAGCTCCATCCAGCCAGGCCTTGAACACTTATATGGATGAGGCATCTATAACTTCTCTGGGCAACCTGTTCCAGTGCTTCACCACACTCACAATAAAGATTTTCTCCACGGTATCTAATTTAAACCTACACTTTTGCAGTTTAAATCCATTCCCCTGTCACTACATGCTCTTGTAAAAAGTCCCTCTCCATTGTTCTTGTAGGCTCCCTTCAGATACTGGAAGGCCACAATGAGGTCACCCAAAGCTTTCTCCACTCCAGGTTGAATATTCTCTGTCTTCCCTCATAGGAGAGGTGCCCCATCACTCTAATCAACTTGGTGGCTTCCTCTGGACTTCCTCCAACAGTCCTTCCTATGCTGGATGCAGCACTTAAARGAGGGATATCACCAGAGAAGGCAGAATCCCCTTCCTTGGCCTMCTGCYCACGCTGCTTTTGATGTAGCCCAGGATATTGGCTTTCTGGGCTGCCAGTGCACATTGCTGGGTTGTGTCCAGCTTTTCATCCACCAGCACYCCCAAGTCCTCAGCAGGRCTGCYCYGGAWCTGTTCACCTCCCARCTTGTATTGATACCAGGGATTGATTGCTCTGATACAGATGCAGCACCCTTCACTTGGTGTTATTCCAGACAAGCACAGTGATAATTATCTACAGATTTGAAGTCAAGCAGGATCAATTATGCCAGACATACCGGAGTGTAATAGCCCGAGCAACCGGATCATTGCTATGGATTACTGAGAAAACTCTTTTGACAAAYTCGTCCACATTTAGGATCTTCTCCAAATGCTTCTCACTCTGCTGAGTAACTTTCAGCACACACAGCCTCAGGAAATTGTTCCTGTAAGAAAATAYATGTATTTCTTTGTCAGGCTATTTCATAATAAAAATTCAAGCACTTCAAACACAAAATTATTTAAATGCAACTTTTGAGAGCAATTTAAAACAAGGAAATGTCTATGCTTTAAAAACATTTGAGCAGACTGATACAGTAAAAAAGAGACTACTAACAGACCACTGCTTTATTTTCTAGTTCAGGTAGTATCAAACTTAGGCCCAATTCCAGGAAAATGAACTTGCTRACACCAGAGAAGGGGTAAAAGCAAATGCTGGGTTTGTGCACACTTAGAGATCCAACTCTGGTAGAAAAACACCTCCAAGATTAAGACAGAAAAGTCTAATTAGCACTGTCAAGTGTTGAGTAAATTTATTTTCCTTCCTGAAAACAACAGTGAAGATCCCACAACATCAACATACACCTCTGTAAGCTTTTACARAGTAGTTTTGATTCCATTATACACAACACTTAGACAGCAGGCACTTGGAAAGCTATACTTGGAGCTYTTTAAGAGATTAAATTCRTACATATGATCGCTCATCCATTTAKGAGTTATGATTTGAGTGTACCTACGGAGCAAAACTCACACCAATAAACTKGAATCAATCAGAAAGAGAATCCTCAAATCAGGACAGATRGAAMGGAATTGTGCARTTATCACTCACAGCCACTTAAGCCCACTAAAAATGAGCAAAAGAAGTTTCAATCAAGCACARCCTCAATAGATGGGGTATCACAGTGGTATTATTAGGCAAGCACGACACTCCAGGCTCAACGCAGCGACATTCCAAGGCACAATGCGTTCCTACGGATCAGAGGCTTGAATGGATAGGACCAGAGGGACAGTACTCACCCCACTCTGAAAACATCGGCCAGCTTTAGGAATGCCGAATTGATGAGAATAGGGAACGGGTATTTCTGGAAGAGCCTGGGAAAACGAACGACGGCTTCACACTGCTCCCCGAGTTTGCCAGACCTGAGGCCTAAAGGAGACATCAGGAATTACTGCAGGTACCTCCAACCCCGGATCCTTCCTCTGCCCCGCGCTGTGGATAAAGCGTTATAGAGCAAAGCTTCCKCCCCGGCCCCGCTACCCAGGCCGGMGACAGCCCCGAGCCCGCGCGGGCTCACCCTTGTCCAGCTCCATAAGGGCGGAGTTGGCGTCCAGCTCCTGCTCGCCATAGCCCGCGTCCGCCAGAAAGGACTTGGTGTTGGTCGCCATTGCTGCCGCTCGCCGCCGGCCCCGCGCATGCGCAGCCGCGCTCCCGCCACCGCCGCGCCGTTCCCGTGCAGGCGCGCGGCTGACCCCGCCCACCCAGCGMGGCCGCGGGAACCGGCGATGGGTGCGGTCGGGGAGGCCCCGCCCCCCGCTCCGCGCTGCCCAATCAGAGAAGGCAGGAGCGGCGCGGCGCTCTCCCTGCTGGCCAATGAGAGCGCGCGGCGCGCTTGGCGGGCCGGTCGTTTGGCGGGAGCTGTCCCGGCGCGCGTCCCCCGTGTTCCCGTGGCCATGCTGTGCCGTGCTCTGCTCCGCCGCGCCGCCGCCGCGCCCGCCCGTGAGTACCGCGCCTTTCCACACACCCTTCCGTCCCGATCCRTCTCCGGCCGCCTTCACAGCTGCGGCGACCGGCTCGCGGCTCCTGGCGCCAGAGCCTCTGGTGTCTGGRGCGCTTACGGTCCGTCTGTCCTATTGTAGGTCGGTCCCCTGCGCTTCCCCTGCAGCATCTCTTGGAGAGCTACCAGTGTAGCCACGAAGATGACCATCTGTCTTACGGGGAAACCGGGATGCCGGTCCCTCCTTTCGGCTGCACCTTTTCTACAGGTAAAGTCGCTTGAAAAGCCTTTGGAGGGGCTGAGTATGGGCTCTGCTGTCAGCAGAGTTTCTTGTTTTAAAGTGACCTGGTAGCAGTGTGCTTGCTCCTACACATGATTAACCTTGCACCGTGATGCTCCTAGATATACTGATAGAAAGCACTTCCTTAAAGAAGTAAGTGAAAAGCATTTATTTTAAAGTCTCTTTGTTTCATCTGTGCCTGTTTCAAGGTACGTCCTCTTGGTGACAGTGTGAGGCTACATAGGTGAARAACTGGGCTTTGTTCAAAATATATAAAAGCTATAACAGGATGGAGAAAATAAGGTGAAAGTCAGAGGTGGATGGATGTCACCAGGCAGCTAAATACATCCTTTCCCCAAGGTGGGAATAAGAAGTAAATAATGAAGCTCCTGGATCTTTAGGGCAAAGCTTTTTCATTTGTTGTACTCTAGTTATGGTGTGAGATTTTACATTTCTCTAAGGTGGCTTCCTGCTTTTCCAACTCAGATTGTGGAAAATACTGGAGCTGTAGATGATATGTACTATAGATACAGAAAACTGTAACTAGAGAACTATTACAGCTGAAACAGTCATTATCTCAAAAGTTGCTCCTGGAGCCATTTGATTGCCCATRTACAATCATTCCTGAATGGAATATCTAGAAAAAATGCTTGCCAGCATTTCTGTGTTTTCATACTTAGCTTGCTATGTAAATGCAGTTTATTTCACAGCTATATGTTTGCTGCATACCCTATTTAAATTGTCTCTGGCCTTTCACAAAGAGCWTGGTCATGATTATGTATTAGCTACATAATGTAATACATTCCAATCTCTTTGCAGCCCCAGCTTCGGAGCACATACTGGCAGTTGCAAATGAAGAAGGGTTTGTTAGACTGTATGATACTGAAGCACAGACCACCAGCAAGCTCATCTTTAAAGGTAAATGTTGTATACAAGGTGATCTTTATTTGATGTGACAGGTACAGGATTTGCTAGAATCAAAGTTTTTTGCAAGTCTTTAAAACATAAATGTAGGCAGTACTTAAATYCTTCCACATACTTTGCTCAGTCTCCTTTACAAAGCAGCAGCATGAATGTACTCTTGAAACAGCAGTAGTAGATGAATTGTTCTATGTTGTTTTTCATGCCTAAGGCAAACTGTTGACAAGATTTCTGATTTCAGTGTCTGATGTCATTTAGTCTTTTGCAAAATATCACGCTGCAATGCACTGAACTAATCTTGGCTTTTGTTTTCTTGCTAGAATGGCAGGCTCACTCAAATGCTGTATTTGACCTTGCCTGGGTGCCAGGGGAACACAGGATTGTAAGCAGTCTTTTGCCRTCTAACTTTGTTTTTAATGCTTTGGCGACTGCATACAGAAARTGACTAAAGCTTTTTATTTTTCCCTTTGAAGGTCACTGCTTCAGGAGATCAGACAGCCAAGGTGTGGGAYGTGAGAGCTGGCGAGCTTCTTGGCATATGCAAAGGTCACCAGTGTAGCCTCAAGTCAGTTGCTTTTTCTAGATTTGAGAAAGGTAAATGTTGATATTCCCTGTTGTCTGTTTTTTCCTTCTCTCCYCCTGGGCAAAACACTTTAATGGCTRAAAAAGGGCTTTGGAAACTGGCAGGTACAAGTAGCACAGGCCTGAGCAGCAGCCCAGCCAAGAAAGCAAAACTGACTTGTTGGAATCTGAYGGTGTCCTGATGCTAAAATCTGCACATTTCTCATCTTGGGCAAAGTTAAAATAGGATATCTACTTCCATACATGAAAGKCTGAATACTCATTTCATAAGCTGGTTTCTAGTAGCAAAAAAAGAATAGTAAGATAAGGCAACTAGTCAAAAAACATGGCAGAACAATGGCCTGAGTTTTGTATTTCCTGGACTGGCATCCCAAGTGTTAGGACAGAAGAGCCACAGATGGCTTTGTACTGCATTCAGTTAATTCAATTAATGCCTTTGGAAGCTAATATCACTCTTTTTCTCTCAGCTGTCTTCTGTACTGGAGGCAGAGATGGAAACATCATGGTTTGGGATACCAGATGCAACAAGAAAGGTAAATAAACTTTCAGATATCAAAAAAGCTTGGGATCTCTAAAAATACTGTTCAGATTGGACTCGTTGGACTAATACTTTTGATTACAATATAGGCAACACTTCAGTAAGACACAGAGGATTCTTAGATAACTCTACTGCTTTAGTACTGTAAAGGGATGGAATAGGTACCTCTGTTACGTATAATACATTTTCCCACTTTGCAGCAGTCMCAGATTTGCAGCATGATACATAGGCTGGCTTGATAATTCCCCGTGTGTTGGTAAGGAGATGAGGGGATTCATCCTTGTTAGGGCAGCACAAAAACCCATGAGATGAGAGGACTGCTTAGACAGAGCCATCCAGAGGGGGGAAAAAAGCTGGAAAGTCTTTTACTGCCAGAGTAGGAAGGAAGGCTGTGCACAAGAAARAGAATTTGTGAGTGCTGGCAGCAACTGAATATATTGTGGGAATACCTACTATAAATGCTGTGTGAGCTCATTCTTCTCTGTTTCCTGGAGCTTTTCCTTCCCCAGCCCCTTCCCTTTTTGCYTTTTCCCTGTTCCCTGCTCTGCCACAGCAGATTCCTTGCCTACACTGCCAGAATATGTCTTGCTCTTCCATCTATCCCAGGTTCCCTGGCTTTTTAAACAGGCAAGTGGAGGAAAAGAAAGACTCCACATGACTGAAGTAGGAAAAAAAAAAGTAGAAACGTGCATACTTTAGTAAAGCAGTACATTTCATAAAGTGAGAAGAAACAGACTAAAGACTAAAGAGAAAATTATAAAATAGAGTAGAAAAGCACTGGAAACTCACCAGTAAGCGTGGTTCTGCTTGTGATGAACACTCCAGACCAGGATGCATGTGAAAACCAGACCAAGGGTTAAAGATTTCCAAAGGCAGCCTGCCTAGATCAGTTTTCATTTCATTGTCCATGCTACATTGACCTCTAATTTTTTACACCATGTTCTTCTCACTAGTTTGATAGGTAAGGAACAATTTTTGTTTTCAGAATACAGTAATGATTTTAAATGTTAGCCTCAGCCACCTCTTAGGACTAATTCCAAGCTGATGCCTGTTTTATTAAAGTGATAACAAAATTGCACWTAAACTAATTGAGATGTCTTTGATTTATTTCAGATGGATTTTACCGGCAGGTGAATCAAATCAGTGGAGCACACAATGTGATTGACAAGCAGACTCCTTCCAAGGGGAAGAAGAAGAGGCAAAACCTGAGAGGACTTGCTCCCTTGGTGGTAGGTACCTGGGGAACAAACAAAATTTCTCTTCTGAGAACAGTGCTATTCACAGAATTCTTCTTAAGTAAACATAGTGAGAAATGAGTGGCTTGTATGCGGTAAATGCTTCCATTTATCCTTGCAGAGACAGGTTCTTGTGTCACAATCACTTGCTATGGCTAATTTTAGACTTAGCTTAGTTTAATAACCCACGTGYTATAAAAGCCAACTTCGGGCAAATGCTATGTGAAAATACATCTTTTTTTTTGCCAAAGGAGTGGTCCAGCGTTCTTTTTTTGGGAGGGGAGATAGAGAGGATTGTAATTTTTTTTTTCTGTCTATTTTTTTGCCCCCCCCTAACTTCACCACACAAATTACTGCCTTACTGGAGTAGGACCTGATAATTTTTCATTTATTAAACCTTGTGAAGGCAGCTCTCTTATCTCTGACCTGAAAGGTGTAATCTCAAACTGCTGCCCCAACACTTATCTCTCAGTGGCAATTTCACTGGTGGGAATGTTCAAAGGATTGTTGTGTCTTAAATAACATCTGGTATTTCTAGGTTCTGCCTGGCTGGGAGGAGGTTTGCCCTGCATTCACATGGCCTTGAACTAAGCAGCMAGATCTTGCTGACCTTAAAAGAAAATAAAGTTCTTTTTTTCTTTTCTTTTTAAGGATTTCCAGCAGAGTGTAACTGTAGTGCTGCTTCAAGACGAGCATACTATTATCTCTGCAGGAGCTGTTGATGGGTAAGGAGGGAGGATGCCTGCTTTTCTGTCTMCTCTGTATGCTTGGCCTAAAAAGATTGGGAGATTTTTTTTCTGTAAGATCTYTCAGTGGCCAACAAGGCTAGAGTTWCTGCTAGGTGGAATCAACAGCCACGCTGTCAGGCTGCTTTACTTCCTCACTSGAGATTGCAGCATTGGACCAATTGTGTATATGTGGTAAATGCTCATTTTAATGTCTTAGCTCTGGGGTAGAACAAGGGCAATTCTTATCTTTTTCTCTCCTCTCATGGACCTATGAGACCACACATARACAGACCATTGTTAGACAGCTTTTTTTGGATGTGAGTGGGTGGTCGGGGCCTGGATATGTGTAGGCATGCTTGAGAAAATATTGCTTTGAGTTACAAAAGATGCATTCTCTTTGGTGCCAGATCTCTTGCAGCATCTTGGAGCTCAAGCAAACTGTCTTATTGATTAGGATGSGAATGACCCTCTTGGACTTGACTCTTTAGTAGGTTCCATGTGGTCAGAGCCTTTCTGAGGCAGATAAGGATGACTCCTCGGCCTATGCTTTGTGACAAAGGCCTACTCCCAAAGAGCAAAGAGAAGAACAGAAAGACTACAAACTTAAACTACTTGTCAGAAATAGAAAGATATCCTTGTATTTCCTTTTACTAGTTGAAGAAAGTTGGCTTGTAGGCTCTTGTTCTATCTTGTGTTAGTTACAGGAGGCATTGCTGCCTCCACACCCATGGCYGGCAGAGCAGTTGTTTGCTTTCAGCACATCTCTGCTCTCCATCTGCTCACTTGTTCTCTCCTGAACACTGATGTCCTGTACTCTTAGAAGGCTCTATCAGCATGGCAGGAGAAATTTGGAGATTGGRGACACTCTTGCCTTTCTATTCCAGCGTGATCAAAGTGTGGGACTTGCGCAGGAACTACACTGCTTTCCGTCAGGACCCGCAGCCTGTCCGGTCCTTCTGCTACCCTGGAACCAGCACTCGCAAGCTTGGTAAGGCACTGGACATGGRTTTGTTAGAGTGCAGAGTGAATTTAGGAACTACTGACGGTGACATTGTTTTATCTTGATAGCCAATTGTTGATCAAACTGGCAAACGCTGGAGGGTATTTTGATTGCCAGTACCAAATTCTCAAGCTGAAGAGCGAAAGTGCCACAGTTTTATATCATTGTGCCAATGATAAACACTTGGAAAASCTTCAGCAGTGCATTTTCATAAACAGAGATGAGGGAACAGTAGAACTCTTGATGAGGAACTCAGATAGTCATTTTGATACAKGAGTAAAATTCAGATTGAACTTTCTTTGCTCTGGACGGGGGTTTTTATAGTATCACCTCTTGAAACTGTTATCAAAAACAATAGCACTTTTTTTCTTCTTTGTATCTTTAATGCCTTACAGTGCTCTGATGCAACACAGCAATTCCTGATAACTTGTCTAATCAACTGTCTTGATGTGGTCAGTGTGGTCAGTGTCAGTCCCAGGAACATGGGGGAAATCCTCAAGGAGCTAGTTATGAAATAATTTGCCAGCAGGAAAAGATTTTTCTTGAACACAAATCACTAGGAAATCAAAGAATGGCTACCAAAACACGAGGATTTCTATTTATCGTTGGTGTCTGCTTCTACAATTGGTCATTCCTGTTACGTGTTTAAAACTGTCAAATCAAATTCCTGCTCTGAAGGTGCAATTCCATTCTAAATACTACCCTGAATTCTCATGAGAAAATGCAGATATTATTCTAGAAATATTTCTTTTTCAGCAAGTGCTTGATCMAACATAAAAACTTTCCAATGATACTCTCATATGTGTTACAGATCCTTTCCAAATTTCCCTCTCTGGGCATTTCTTTGAAAAGAGAATGTCTCTTTTCCAAWTTTTTTTTTCTTACTAGGAACTTTTGTCTTTGTCTATAGGATATTCTAGCCTGGTTTTGGATTCCACTGGCRCTAATCTGTTTGCTAACTGCACTGATGACAGTATCTACATGTTCAATATGACAAGTTTAAGGACCACTCCAGGTAAGCATGGTATCTGTGGAAACACCTGCGAAAAACCAGATGTTACAGAGCATAGAAAGGCAAGTTTGTCCATATGACATAGAGAGACAGGGACCACGTTCAAGACTTAAAGGAAATCTATTCCATGCTCTTATCTCTAAAGCTATGCAGGAGAAATTCACATTTTGTGTTAAGCCATCCACATAAAATTAATAGCACAAAAACTTTTATGAGTGCATATATTGGTTCACCCAGGCAGAGGCTGATGGTAATTTGCATCTTGGTTGTAGTTATCCAGTGAGGAGTGGCTACTATCCAGCCTGAAGCAAGTTTGAATCTTCTACTAACTGGCAGTCACTGACTTAGAAATGAATCCATTGAAAGTGATCACCTGATGAGTTCTATTGAGATACTCTAAGATGTCTTTTAAATTTAACTTCTACCACAGTTTGTGGGAGAAAGGATCTGCAGCATCATGAGCTGCTTCAGCCTTTTGGATTCCTTCTGCTTTGCATCTGTGACCTTTATATGCACAAGGTGGCCCAGAGCCTTTGGTGTACGAAGTTGCTTTGGCACAGGCGGGTGGCAGAAAGTGGCAGAACTTGTCAGATGCATTCCGGCCAGACACATAATTTATTTCCCACTGCCTTTTCTCAGTCTCTCAGTTAACTGGAATTAAATGAACAATGTGTCCTTCTGTCTGCTCTTCAAGAAGGCAGTCTGGTGGGTGGGAATGCTTCCAGAACAGAGAAGTGGTGCAAGCAGTAAATATTACTAGCTTGGTTGTTGAGGTTAACCCCGGGTGCGGTGGGAATGGGCTGCCCAGCCCATCCCCTGACAGGGRGAGGCTGTCACAAGGCTGCCCTCGGCCTCCTCATGGAGCTGTTGTCTCATGTGTGCGGCCGAGGCGGGCAGTGTCCATGGATCCTGTGGGATGGAGCACAGCAGCTCCCGCAGAGGGCAGCGCCTGCCCGCCCCTCTGCCACTCTCTCTGTGCTGCTGCTCTTATCCAGCGCCAAGGCAGGAAATCCGCCTTCTAACAGCCCTTGCTGCCGCTTTGGGAAGGGATTTGCTGCCTGGTGGCCACTGCGCTGGAAGAGCTGTGGGTAAAAAAAAAAAACCGAAAGGATATTTTGGTGTCTCACAGCTCTTCAACCACCACCAAAGGCAGCTGCGTGTTCTCTGCTCTGTGGGTTGTCTCCTTTGTGAGAATCACTACTGAAACTGGGCTGGAGGAGCGGGTGCCAGCCCTGCCTGGGCTACAGTGGGAAACTTGTCCTTTGTGCCCCGTGAGAGGACAGGACATGGCACAGCCAAGCGCTCCAGATCCACGCTCGGTCTTTGTGCCAGCCCTGGAGGTATTCACAGTGAGGGCAATGTCAGCCATTTGGGGTRATGGTTTCGAGGCTTTACATACAGAGGAGCATGACTGACACCATGCAAGTTTTATTGACAAAATAAAGCTGCTGGTAGCGAGAGGAAGGAGCAGTCAGTGCCTTTGTTGCCACCTGGGTGGAAGAAGGCCCCTGCTGGTACTGCCCTTGTCAGAGTAGTGGGTCCGGTGATGGCGCTGAGGGACGAAGAGATGAGAAACCTGAACCAGAGCAGTGGGGCAGCCCAGGTGACGGCTGAGTCTGCCTGTGATACAGGTCAAGCTAAAGCTTTAATGAAACTGCCATTGCTTTGTTTGGGAAGCCTGAAGGGCTCCAGCTGAATAATAAAAACTTCCTGCTGCTGGAGCCCCAGAGCGAGGGAGCAGTGCAACCACTTTCTCCAAAGCATATGTGGCTAAATAGGAAAAGGATAAACCTGTAAGCTCAGCCTTGCACAACTGACTCCAGGGCTGTGCATTGAGTGGGGCTTTTATTCTCTTTTGTTTCTTTCAATTTTCTCTTCACAGTGGCTGTTTTTAGTGGACACCAGAATTCAACCTTTTACATCAAATCCAGCACCAGCCCAGATGACCAGTTCCTGGTCAGTGGCTCGAGTGACTGCAATGCTTACATCTGGAAGGTGAGGCACTGGGGGGAGACCCAAGGATGCAGTCTGGAGCTGCTCTTGCTTTTCATGTCCACATAGGACACTTCTTGCCCCCCAAACCTACCCAAAGCAGTGTGGGGTTAGCTCCTGGGGTGTTGTGCCTGGAGTGTGTGTGTTGCTGTCAAGGCTTGATGTAATTGTTTAATGTAAAGCAGGGCTAACCTCTTGCCATCATTATGTCTCTCATCWCTGCTGCTTATTGCAAGTTGCTGTTCTTAATCTGGTTTTAATGGGCTTTAAAATGCTCTTTCAGCYCTGTTGATTCAGGCAGCTATGACAAGCAGACAGACAGTTCTCAGTTCATATTTAGCAATAGAGCACATTAGCAGAGACCTTAAAGTTTAATTCTTTTAAAGGACATTCTTTCCCTCCACCTCTCCCTTTTCCAGTTCCTTCTTCAGACACAGCTTTTTCTCATGCTTAATTTACAGTAGTTTAAGCCTTTGTATTATARCAAGGGCTCAGCCAGAGCCTTCAGCAAAATTCCAAAGCACTGTCTGACAGCTGAGTTGCTTCGTCACTTAACATCTTGCAGTGACGTGTAGGAAATGTAAATGTCACCAAGATAATAACAGGGACCTCAGAATAAGGCATGCTTCAAGTTCTGCTCTCCATATTCTCCATATGGGAACAGACTAGATTTACTGAAGTAGAACTGACAGAAATGGCAGGTGGCTGCCTATTTCAGGTTTGGGATAATTTTTAGGCAATGTTGACCTGTGTGTCCATTTCACAATGAGTTTGAAAGTAAAATATAAACCCCTCAGAGGAGAGGGTCAGCTTGCTTAGGCTCTGCTTTGAGCAAGTAGCCTCTTTAATTTGGAAAACACATGTAAGCATCTGGGTTGCTCCCTCAGCAGAGGCAGGAGTGTGGCTGCTGTGCCAAGTGGTGTAACTTTAACCTTCCTCGTGTTCTGTGCAAGTTCAGCAAAAATGCCTGTGCAAACTTGAGTTGCACATTCTGCATTCATGTGTTTTGATACTTTCTTGAAGCACAGGCTGGCACTCAGTGGAGAGTATTCAAGGATGCCATTATATCTTAAAATTTAAGCATTTTAGYACATTTAAAATGCATTCATGTACAGAATGCGTTATGTTGCTATCACATATGAGTGACAGATAGTATTGCATATTTATAAAATAAATAATCAGATTATTATTTTTATTTTAATCCCATAGCCATATTAGAAAGTGGGACTTTCAGTGAATTTGTCTCTTTCGAGATCTGTCATATTCAGAGGCTTCTTAATTTAATGTTGCCAGATTTGACTCTGAAACATATGTATCTTTTCATGTCATGGGGACTTATTATGCTGTGAAAAAAGCCATGGTTAGATGTTGCATGAGCAGTTAACCAGTAATATTGGAAGGAACTTAATGAATAGCTCTTTCTGTGTCTAGAGAGGAATGAAAGGCAGAGRAAGACCTTTTCCACTTGGATTATTTCTTCAAGAAACTTTTGAAGCAGTGCTAAGTTTGTGTTTGGGTGAGGAACACTGTGGATAGAAGTTGTTGATGACAAGGGTGCTGTTTCAGTCTGTTTTCATACATAAATCACTTTTAGTCAATGAACACTTTTATTATGTTGTATTTGTTGGGGTTTTTTTTGTTTTTTGTTTTTTTGGGGTTTTTAGTTAGAAGTTCATTAATGAATGAACTCTCACTCTTGAGCAGCCATAAGATTTAAAAAGCWGAAGAGCAGAGAGTTTTTCTTCATGAAGATGGTACCTAACGTACACTTATGATAATAAAAAATACCATTTGTAGACATGTACTTCCATTGTCCTTTCAATCCTTTGCTATGGATCACTCCAAGGTAACCATATCAAGTTATGCTTTGGTCTGTCCCAGCCCTGGAATGCACATGCTTTTGTATCATATGGTTCATAAAAACATCGACACCATTTTATGCTGGATCTTGAAGATGGATGAAACAGGTGTTTCCAGGGAGTAGAGTAACTTAAAAAAGTCTCATTTCCCAGGTTTCCCTTTTTAACCTTTTCACAATAGGCCTCACTTCCCTAACAATATCCTGTCAAATCAGGCAAAAGAAGCAGCTTGTGCTGTGGATAATCCTGACTTAACATGTGCAGACTGACCAACTGTCTTCTGCCAAACACAGTGGCCACAGCCCTAACTCTGCACCCTTTATCACAGGAATATAAATTAGGTTTAGTCAATTAAATTTACACTACTATAGTGTAAAAAGTAAGACCACTGTGTCCTAGAAAGAGTAATTCCTTGCCTCTACTTTTGTTCTAACAATCAGTGGCTACTGGACCACTGTTGTGTCTGCTGTGAGTGCATGAAATGTAAGTGAAGGTGTTCTCTGCACCAAGATCTGTTATTTATTCCCTAAATAGTCACTTAGTTTTCATGGCATTACATGTTTTGGCAGTGAAGGGAATCGAGGCACTTAGTGGATATTTAATCAAATGATTGCCTCAATCATGCCATGGGAAAAAAGGAGTCCTGTTAAGATGAACCTGTTTGTATCAGAATAACTTAAGTTCTGAAAGCTGGATATTTAGCTTCAGTTTTACAGCCTGTTTTAGGAGATGATCAACAAGAGAAAAACATGTGTAAATCAGAAGCTTTCCCCAAAGTATTGCATCTTCCTTTGAAACCTATATGTAATGTCTGCTCCTTGCCCCACACAGTAAAGKATCTGTTCATTCCCTTAGTCATTTATGCAAATCCCCTTGATAAATCTCCCTTATWGTGTCACATCAATGATGGTGACTCATAGCTCCAAAAAGGACTGCCTGCTGAAAGCAAGCAAAACTCAGATAGAATCTCTGTGTGTGTGCAYGTTGTGTGTGTGTATGTGTGTGTATTTTCTTCTTGGGGTCACTTAATGCTGGCTTCAGCTCTGTCTGTCACTTACAGGAGMTGGAGACAAAGATAAGTAGCAATACTGTAGTGGAGGAGAAAGATTTTTATGAAGAGTGTGAGAGAAATGGAGATCAGTTGAATGAACATGGGTGATTTAGAGAGCTTTTTTATGAACTCTTAAGAGGGTCTGGGGTCCACCTGATTGGTTGGAGGAGGTGCAGCCACTTGGCAGTCACACAAATGCCAGTTCTGAAGCCAGTGAAGGTTCATCTGTGGGATTTTGTTGGCAGTGGTTTCATTTTTTTTAATAAACCATTGACCTGTGTTTGGGGCATTGGTAAAATGGCAGCACARTGTATTTGCCTAACCTGATTCAAAATACAAGCCTCCCAAGATTTAAGCATCTTAACTAGAACAGGYAGAGATGCTTAAAATGCTTGTGTTGTGTTTTGGGCTAACAAACCTTGAGGCAGAATTCCTGTGTGTAGCAGGAATTGAACAAGTGTTTCCTTGAACTGCTGCTTAGGGCTTCATCAGTTGTTGCCTGATGATAATAGGCTGACAGCATTTGATTTATGCATTTCATACAGGAAAAATGGAAAGTATCCACATGCTTCACAGGTTGGCTATGGGGTCTTTTCTTAGAGATGATTATTAGGCTGTGTGCCTTCTGACTGTTTACTCCTTTTTCCATGAAATTTTTAAGGTTTCTGAGCCCAGCCTTCCTCCACGGATACTCCTTGGTCACTCTCAAGAAGTTACCTCCATTGCTTGGTGTCCTTCAGACTTCACTAAGGTTTGTCCTCTGCAAAGTGTCTTTACTGTGAAACAATAGATGTGATGGGACAACATTTGCTTTTCAAACCTGCAGCAGCATTTGTTTATTTGGGAGGAAAATTTAGCCAATAATTTCTAAAAATGTTCATTATAGGGGACAGTAATCCAGCCTTGTCATATGAGCACAATGCAGCTGAACTTTTTTATTATTTTCAAATAATTTAGGCTATTTGATAAGTCCTAAGAAATTGCAAATTAGCAAAGACCTCTCCTGATGAAAGCTTGTGATACTACCTAWAAGAGATAAAACAGTGAAATCATTTAATCAGCGCTTTCAGAAGCCAGAGGCTTGTTTTTTTGCTCCATATTCACATCTCCCTTTCCCTCTGACCATTGATACATCTGCTAGTSTTGTATAGAGTGGCAAGAAGTTTTGCATGCCCTTGAGAAAACATCTGGTCTTCTTTCATTGTGACCTCTTTTCAACATCTGAGCTGCTTCTATGAAAAAAAGAGCCTCCAGTGAAATTGTGTCAGTAGTTATGCACCAGGTATCACTAAAAGGAAAACAACTGAAGTAGGAAGTTATGTTTGGCCTAGCTCAAAACTAGAAATAACCCTGAAAAATCCTGAACAGTGTCCTAAGACTTTCTTCCACCCCACAATRTTAAAGAGGTCAGCTGCCTTGCATGGCAGCACCAGGGCTTCAGAACAGGATAACAGCAGAGTGGGAGTCTTGCAAGCAAACATGAGGAATTGTTCTAGTTTTGTAAGAGTCACAATATGAGAATTGGCATTTCAGATGAAATTTCAGAAATCTGTGATTTAGAGGTAGCCCAGCATCATGATCATGAGGTGTTGGAAATGAGACCAGTTCAGCCTTTGAAACTGTTACTGACACAGGGAAGTAATAGCCAAACCTGGTTCAGATGCCACTTGCAGTGACTTGAGAGGCAAGGTTTCTTTCTGTGCAGGCAGCATTGGTGTGACAAAGGTCAGAGTAGGGACACTTTCCCATTGAGATTGCTGTGAACTTTCACCACAGCATTTCCTTTTTCTTTCTGCTGGTTCCTGATTGAGTCACCACTTAATCCATCTGAAAAGAGCCATAAAATGTGGGCTAGATGGGTGCTGCTCCTTTGGTTGGGATTTCAGAGATCCTTTCAGAGTCCGTGATGCTGTGGCAGGACACTGGAACAATGTTTCTGGCAGAGTTGTATTCTGTGCCAGATACTGCTGATATCTGTCTCTGAAGACATAGCACTTAGAGTTTGTGCAATAGCCTTCCAATGTCACCTTCTCAGTGTGTGGCAAAAGTTTGTCCCCAAGCAGAGGAGGTCCTGAACAACAGAGGCAGATCAAGGTGCAGTCACAAAAAGAAGCATGGTTGTTTTTGTCTTCTGAGGGACTGAAACCTCAAAATGTGCCATGACCCTCCCTGAGCAGTGTCTCTTACATTTGCAAGGCAAATGGCTGGTGGTGACTGAGATTACTATAGCAGAAAGGCATGGGTGCAGCAGCCTTGCCTGCTTTAAAGCAAATACTGCTGCCTGGTACAGTAATGAAACAGAGTTGGGTTATTTTCATTATTTAATGCTCAGTCTTGTACCCCTTCAGCCAAGCTTCACCATTACTCATGTTGGCATGGTGTGTGGGATAATAGCTGTCCCAGTTCACTCAGCCAGTRATCTGAAGGATGTGCCCTGGTTACCCTAACAGCCCAATTTTTTTTTTTGTACTGTAGATTGCCACATGCTCTGATGACAACACTGTGAGGATTTGGCGCTTACGGCGTTGTCCTGAGGAAGAGAAATCAGTATCCAGAAAAAGCAACTTGGTGGGCTGGGTCACTCAGAAGAAACCAGAAGAACAACATGGAGCAGGTAAGGCTCCTCAGCTGAACTATCTTGCTCTGCAACATGGCTGCTGAATTTTGTCTGTTCTCTGTACCAACARAAGCCTTCATCTTGTCTTACTAGGCTTCTGAGGTTTTTCTCATATTAGGCAATARCTCATATAGCCAGACAAGCACTTCTACTTGCCAATACTTCTGCCATTAACAGGACAAGCTGGCTGAAATGGCTTACAAGTAYGGCAAAGTCTGTGTGGCCMCACTGCAAATCAGATATTCATTGAYGCTGCTTGTTGGGCAGCCAGGTCTTCAGTGGGTTTCTGTAGGGTTTGATAATTGAACAGCCAAAGGAGTTTCATAGCGACAGGTCACACTTCTTTTTTTCTATTTATCAGATAATAACTGAGAGCAGTAAGATCATATGCTTTTTCCAGTTTGGTAATTATCCAGTAAAGGATACTTTACAGCCTTGGAATTCTGAACTGTTTCCTTCTGCCCATTGTTGAATTGTGCAYAGATTTCTCTGTTGCAGCTATCAGTATTGTCTCTCTTTTTTCAGTTTCAGTTAGTGGTACTGACCGTATACAGCCAAATGCTGTGCAGTGAAAGTACTTCCAAAAAGCACGTAGACAATCGTGCTGTGATTGTAATGTCCCAGAATTAACACTTAATCACGTGTTAAGGCTGGTGAACAAYTGCAGTACCTTTCTACAAAGCCTGGGCACTCAAACAAGCTGTGCAGCATGCTCTGAGCTAGCAAGCAGATGTGGTCTCTGCAGAGAAGGTAATCACTAGGTAGGTAGTACCCTAGACCAGAAGAAAGGAACCTTGAATCACAATACGTCTTTGATTTGTCTGAAACCTGCATTTTGTTGCAGTGGTGTGGGTGAGAGGAAGATAACTGCCCTTCCCCCAAAGTGAAGTAAGATGAGCTCTGTAGAGTAGCTCTGAAACTAAGAATACAATAGCTTCCCAGCAGCTGCTGCTGTGACTTCCTGCCTTCCACCTATCTTTTCTAGCCAGCCTCCAAATGTATTTTATCTTGGCTAACACAAATAAAGGCTGAAGGTCTCCAAATCCCACTAATGGGATAACATTACCTCTAACCTTTCGCCAGTGAGTAACAAGTCTAGCAGGAAGTTTGCAGGACAATAGGAGGGAGAGTGCCAGGTCCACTCCATAGCTAGTAATTGTTTGGTATRTGCACACACTCTTCCTCAGAGAGGGCTCAATCCCTTTGTGTACTGGTTTCAGYAAAACAAAAGTAAGCATAGGTCTAGACCAGAAATGTGAAATCTRAAGTATCCTATACACTAAAACTTTACAGGTCAGGTTTAGCAATAACACCAGAAAAAATACTTATTTCTCCTTGCTTTTGCTGCAGTGAAGTACCTCAGGAGGGAAGAGGAAGTACACTGACACTGCAAACACGACAGCAGGCTTCCTGCTGACCTTGGCTCTTGAACACAAAACTCCTAGAATATAGGAGTTATCTGCAGAGACCCATTTAGARCTGGCAAGCAAAGTTCTATTTCTGACCTGCTAGGGTGAATCTGGCCAGTTCCCCACCCGTTTCTGTGGTACAAATTGTGAGACTGAGGTTGTGTATTGATTGTTGACCTATATCATCAAGTGTAGCAAGCAGAGTTTCCTTTCTTTGGCAATTACTTTTGTGGTTTCTTTAAGTTGTACTACTTTCTCTGCGGTTTTGTGTAACCAAACTTCTGGAGCAGGCTTGGCATGGTCGATTTGTGATTCTTCAATCTGGAGATTGATAACACTGCTCTAGAAGWTTTGTGGCAAAGAAGGCAGGAAACATGCAAAATAACGTCCCTTGGTGTGATGCAGGTAGACTGCAGATAGMAGCATAAATGGAAACGGCTTGAAACTGCCTTAGTAGAAGCCTGAATAATGCATGCAGTCTTGGAAAAAAAAAGCCTGATCTTCATGTTCTTTATCCCAAATTTGTGTTTGCTTCTTGACATGGCATTTATCCAGCTCCCAGGATAGCKCTTTTCCCATTATCCAGTGTGTCCACAGCATAGCTTTCAGACTGGTTTGGAATTCAGAGTGCTCTTACCCAACTAGTCCTGCAATATTTCTACTGTATGATTTTATAATGKTCATTATGGATCAAGAGTTGCTGAGCTTGCTACTTTCTTCTCCCTCTAGGAGCTAAGATTTTTGAGTGCAACTAATTTCCCAGCTGAGTTATTATTGTCTTGTAAGTGCTCATTAAAGTAAAGATTAGGAGAAAAAAATCTTGGCAGTTACTTCCTCATAGTCCATATTGAAGCAAGTTGTTATGAAKTAGAATATTTTATCAGAAAAGGAGCCTTTAACTCTGTTTTGTGTATTCAMGTTACTTGTAGTGGAATCCTTTAATATGGGATCCTATTTAATTTTGTTCTGATGCAGCAGTACTTTAAAAAGAAGGATTGGAAGAGGCATAATATGGTATATAACCAGTCATGTAGGTGTTCTCTCAACATGATGTTTGTGAGAAAGTCCAGTATTGTAAAGAAAATGGCAGGTTATTCACACTAGACTTCTCATTGTTCTAATGAAGTGCTTTATGGTGCAATGCTAATGCTGAGTGAGGGAAGTTCGGATTAAACCCCTGGTATACACAAAATGTTTCATGCCCTCGTGCCCAGCAGTGGAAATGCACAGAGTAACTAAGGCACTACCCTATTTAATTGTGTAACTATGAGTTAGGTGAATGAGAAAGCAGGCATCTAACAAACCCACTAATRTGTGCTCTGTTGGAGTGGGCTGGAAATGAAAAAAAAATTAAAAATTAAAAGAGCCCCTTCTAATACTGCTACAGACCAAGATGTTTGCTAAGTATGATTCCTGCTGTTGTTAGTGAGGTGCTTGTGTCCCTACCTATGACTGCTGTTTTCTGGGTGTTCAGAATTTCTYTTTCACAAGCAGGGGCATTTATACTTTGGCTAGTGAGCTCAAAAGCCACTGTGAAATACCTGTTTGGAAATCATTTGTTTTAAAGCCATAACTTGCTACAGTGACAGATTTTATTTCCTTTGGAATTTAAGTCCTTGTTCAGGAGGTGAAGAATTTCCCACAKTTCCCTGGGTGTGGTAAATAACAACTGCCTCCTTCCAATACAGCATTGCAGAAAATCCTCCAGCAAAAAGAYAAGAAAACAAAAGTATGTCCTTTATATTCAAACAAATTTTTAAAAATCTTTTAAATATGCAGCTAATAGCACCTGACTAGGAGCATTATTCACATGGTGGGGCATCATATCGTAAGGCTTCCTTGATTTTGCAATTAGCTGTGGGACCAGCTTACAGTACCTTTGTCCCTCAGCTCAGTTATGCAGCTGTTAGAGATGCAGTGCAGGTGGGGACCAGCTTTTTTCCAGGCAGCTGTCTGGACTGAACCAATGCAGAGCTCCAGCAAGGCTAGATAAACTTGGAAGAATCAAGATTTGTTTTGGCTGCAGCTCATGTAAGAGYGCTCATTACAGATGATAGAGATGTCAGACATTACTCAAATGTATTGCATTATACTTTACCAGTGTAATACAGGATTTTTTAAAGGACTTGGAGCAGTTTAACCAAAATCAGAGGGATCTATACAACTTCTTAATTCGAAAGCGTATGTCTGTGGCACAGGGTCAGCACTGATTCATCTCCGGGTTGGAAGGGGTGTTTSTCAAAGGACTATTGTTAATCTGCTGTTCTGTGTACCTCATCAGACTACCTATTTCTCCTCTCTTAGGGTCACCAGCCAGCCTCCAGAGCACTCCAGCCAAGGCCTTCACAGCAGGCAGCATGTGCATTTCCTCGCCCCGGCCCGCTGCCTGTGCTCCCACTTACTCCGGAGATCTCCCGCTGGCAACAAACACTCCCAYGGCTGCTCTCAACACCCCGACCACCACAGCCTCCACCCCAGCCAAGCCACCTGCAGCCAGCCCCTGTGCCTCTCCCAAGCTGATCCCTTCCTCCAAAATGTCCATCAAACACTGGGTTACRAGGACTCCATGCTCTTCTTCTCTAGAAGTGGAGAAAAAGACTCCTTCTCCTAGAAAAGCCCTGGCAGAAGTCACCCAGGGTCTCCTGGAAGCTGCYTGCCCTCCTAAAGTCCCACACCCACAGTTTGAAAAGCGTGCTAAGAGAAGGCTTGACTGCAGCAAGGAGGGAGACGTGGGCCAGAAGTGTCTGCAGGCCTGTAGCTGTGTGACTGAGCTGGATCATGCAGCTAAGAAATCCAAGCTGAATTTATGTCACTTGGTTCCAGACCAGAAAGCTTCTGATGAAGACTCTCTCAGCTTGGTTGACTTGGATAACAACAACAAAGGCTCCAGCCACAGCCCAAAAGAGCCTTCCCTTTCTGGAAGCCATATTAATCCATCAGGCATTCAAACCTCCCTCCATCTTTTCAGATCTCCTTGTGGGAAGGACACTGAGGTAGTAGATAAAGAGAACAGTTCTCCTGAAAGAAAAAATTGGTTGTCTGCTCTGGGAGAGAAGCTACGGACTGGCAGACCTGGCAGCCAGAACACATCAAACAGCCCCCTGTCATCCTGCAGTCCTGGTGCCAAGAGACAAGAGTCTGTGGCAGTGGCCACTTCGCCAAAAACTGTAAGTAGGGCAGCCAACAACATTGTCATGAAAGTTATCCTAACTGCCACTCTCCCCTTGTTTGTTCTCTCCTGCTCCGACACAAAGAATTATCTGTTCTCTTTGACTATGGACAAAAGGGATGATTTCTGGCCTAATAAGCCAGATACATTAATGCTGTTATCTACTAATCCACTCCATGCAGAATTTTTATGATGTGTCCTTCATTTCCAAGGGACTCAGGGCACACGGGAGCTCAGAGATCCTTGCAGTTACTAGCTGGAATGTTTGAAGGATGTAGCTGTCATCTTAAATACAGCTCTACTTTGAGAGGCACAATRATGTCAACAGCTTTCCTGGCAGATCTCCTATTTATGTGTTCATCATCACATCTGCCTGTTTATGTTACTGGAGAGCCACTTAAGCATTGGAAGAAAGAGCTAAATTCTATTCTATCTCAGGTAGCAAAAGAATTTGTTGCCCATGTTAAAACTGTGGGGTTAAATAATGCCTTCAGTTCCTTCCATGGAAAACTAGCAGGAAACAAGAGTCGTGCAAGAGTGAGAGGGCAGGATGTGACTTACATCATCCTACTTTTGATGTACAGGAAGCCTGGCACAGGGCATSCTAGGATCTGAAATGAAAGTTAAGCTTATAAAGCAGCTAAAAGCATTGGCATGAGGGTCTAACATGCAAACTAGGAAATTATAATTACATTTTTTAAAACAAACTCATCTCTGAGACTAGCTTCCAAGTCCTCCAGTATCTTTGAGTCTTATTTCAGTAAATTTTAGATAAATACTTAATCATCAAATTTTAGATGTACTCTCAATTGAATATCTGATGCTAGAAGTTGTTGCCATCATTAARGCTTACTTTGGTATCTCATTTTTTACTCAATTTCATCTCTTCCTACATTTCTAAAAGATATGATGTGGACAAGCCACCACTCCTTAAGTTATTCATAGCAGCTGGACTCTTYCTGTTGGTTGTATCAAGAAATCTTGGTTATAGGAAACCTACAGCTGCTTGTGCTTTATGCTGTACATATTTTAACACAAGACAGAGACATTTGCCCTTGAGAGAGATTACTACATAAGAATTATCTCTCCTGCCTAGTGTGCTCTGGTTCTGATTTTGGGATGCTCCTGTGTTGTTCTCATAGCCTGAGGAGATGCCAGGAATACCCAACAGTATTCAATGAATTTGTTGTATCTTAGAAATCTGCAGCTTTCTTATCTGCTGTAGGGAAGCTGAAACTGCAGCTGAAGTGCACTTCTCATGGCAGTAGACCACCCTTAGGATTTAGACAGTTTTTCCTGTAGGTAGTAAGCCTCCTACTTTGARACAGATTGTAGTAAATAGCCTTTAATTTACTTTCTTAGTTGGGAAGCTGAGCAAACTGGAACAATGATGGAAGGGAGACTTTGAGACTCCTGCAGCATATGAGCTGTCAACCTAGARGTGTTTCATGCTGCTTTTGGTTTTATTTCTTGCTAGGCTGCGAGCACTTCAGTTTCCATGAGGAAGATCTGCACATACTTCCAYAGAAAGCCACAGAATGACAAGCAGCATGCGGTGGTTGCACCTGAGGGATGTTGACACCAAGGTATCAAGACCAGAATTAACAATGCCAGCAACGAAGCAYCAGGATTACACAATTTGTTCTCAGACCTTTATAGACTTGAGGTTTTAGTCTTCCTGTTTTTAAAGYTGTTAACAGTTTAAGTGAGCTGAGTGTGTAAAATCTGCTCAATACTTACTCATGGTCTCTTTCTGACTTAGGGCATGTATTTTTTTATAAACAGTATTTTTTACATGGCAACTATTCTAGTCCAAAGACAGCAACAGCTCTGCTGTGTATTGTTGATAGGCACATACAGCTTGTCAGTTTATGTTACTCATCTGCTGTTCAAATTGCCTCTGCTTAAGAACAGTGTGTAAATCATTACACCCTCCTGAAAAGTAAGTGTTGGAATGTGTGTAGAGAAACTTACTGGAGGTACATCTGAGCCTCTTCATGCTGAATGGCATTTCTGCAGTTACTCCTCTAGTACTGCAATGACTGCCTGCTTCCAGCAGGGAAGTTAGCAACGTGTTAATTCAATCTAAAGGATTAAATCTAAAAGACTTTTGGACACCCTGTGTCCATCTGATGGTGACTGTGGTGTAAGAAGAGACAAAGTATAATCAAGTACGTAATGCCAGTACTCCCCTTTCTTCTCTGGAAACTACTATTTACCTACTTAGCTGCCTCTTGAACCAGCAGCACTACAGCTCTTAAGACCAAAAGTTTGTCACTTTTGTGAAATCAAATACTGGCAAGGTGTGCTAGAAGAATTAATTTGATTTATCCTAAATAGGCTTCCCCCAACAGCCCATTGCCAGTCAGCTCTTACAGATTCAGCCTGTAGCAAAGGCATTAGTAACTGCTTATAACATACTTTCATAACAGCTTTAGAATACAGTAGTTACAAAATAATACCTTGTAAATTGGGGGAGAGCTAATTGACATTTTAGAAAGCACTTTTACATATTAATATTAAATGCTTTGCCATTGTAAGTCATCCCTGATGCTGATAGAACAAGGTCACTGAAATAAGATCACTGTCCTACTGGCTAATGACACTAAATCCTCAGCCATGCTTTCTCCCAGGATCTTCTAGTAGAAGTAGGATCTTCTAGTAGAAGATCCTTATCTTAGGTTGGAGCATCTACTCTGTTTTCTGGTGTTACAGTTCCTATGAACTCCAAAACAAATTAAACCCTCTGAATCCCTGTGAAGTTTTTCTACTGCAGAAGAATTGAGGTATTTGAAGAGGATGGGATCCCACTAACTTATGTTTTCTATCTTAGATTTTAAGATTTTACTTAGATTTTACTTTACAGTAATGTTGGAAAGCATGGTAGCTGAAAGGGATTAGAAGGAAACATTCTGGTGTGTATTTCATATGGTAGATTGTATTTTACAAGGAAATAAATTACTTGAGAGAAAATGGCTTTTGTGAAAGGTCTGTTACAGCTACAAAGCAACAATAAATGTGTAGWGTGCTTCTTTTAAAAAAAGAAAAGTAGTTATTATCATGTTGCATCTTTAAGCAGAAGCACTTGGGTACAAATGGGGGCCAGAACAGCTTTCTCTCGTTTAGTGAATCACAGGCCATCACCCTATGAAAGGCAATGTAGCATTTCAGGTATTTTTATATCGTTTTTCTTAAAAAAAGTGATTTTTTTAAAAAGTGAATATCTGAGTAGATCTAGGGTCTTAGGCAAAACAGGAATATAAAAAAATCTGCTAGTCTAATTTTAACCTATTTCTGGATATTGGAGTAGATGGAAGTAGTTGAAACATAACCTAAAATTTAGTASATTTGGGATTTAATTCTGTCTTCATTTTAATTGCAACTGTGTAGGGTACAACCTGCCTTGCCCAGATCCAGATTTTCAAGCAGAATTCTTCCATGCAGTTTGTAAAAAACATTKCTGAATAAGGAGTTGTGAACCCTATTGAAGTACGTGAGAATTGTCAGGCACTTGAATAATAGGATTTCATGTTTCTCCACTCTTCCACAGCATTTTCCTCCTCCAGAAAAATTCTGCAGCCAAACCATTATCTCCTACATCTTGTAAATGGCTGCCTAGAGATGATACACACTAATGGGTTACCACCTGGATGAATAATAGTCTGTGGGCATGTAGGGCTTTCTGCTTTCAGACAGTACTTTTTTAGTGGAACAACTTGTTTTATGGACYACCAGGCATTTATTTTTTCACCTGAAGCTGATGTCACCCTGGTCTAGGAGAATTAACTGAAACATATTTTTCTATGTCCAACAACCTTGACCTTATTGTGATAAAATCAAAATTGCAAAAGCACAGAAAAATTGCTGATACAAATCATATGTCAGGTGGTTCAAGGTAACCAGTGCTGTCTTTACCTAAGAAGCTTGATAAACTAAGCATTCAGAGAGTGCTTTCAGTTGTTTTGAGCCCAGCAAGCTATGCCTCTGATTTCTCTTTTCTTCTAAAGGATTTACAGAAACTCTGACCTCCATGTTTTATAATCAAATTAAGCCTTTTAAGGTATTATTCCCAAATCCAATATATGTATGTAAATCCCACCTTAAGTATCTTACAGGTTTTTCCATGCAGATGATAGTGCTTCCTGATATTTTGTCTCTATCCTCAGTGTTTACCCTCTGATTTACCAACTGGGATTTGGGGCTGACTGCAGCAGTTTCTGATGGTGCTGCATCCCATAGTTGTCACTGCTGCTCTCTTGAAAGCTGTGCCTCTCCCTGCTCTGCTCCAAGCAGCCAACCAGTTTGGATTGAGGGTAGCTTGACAGTGACTGGAGCTAACCCTGCTTGGCAAAACTGGGCAGGCACTTCTGGGATCTGCACAGATGCATGGTCAGCAAGCCTGGGCAAGCATTTCTTCTGAGCACTCRCTTAGAGTCCCTTGGAGAAGCTAGCTACCAAGAAAACTAAATTTTACTTGCCTCAGTTCCCTGCCCCAGCAGATAGTTACAGACCAAAACAGATGTGAGCGTGTGGGGACAACATTGCCAACATTGCCACCAAGGGGACTGTCAAACCTCCTGATGTGTAGATCTGGCCACTTMTAGTTGGTCAGGGAATGCTTGAGTCTTCCTCTGGCACGGCTGTTTCTGCAGCCACTGAATATGGCTGAAATCTCTGGTATGRTCCTTCTTGCCTTTGTGTGTCCACACTTTGTAAACTGATAACTGAGGTGACAGAAAACCTGCCATTGTGGCACTGAAAAATGTYCTGGTTGCTGTCTGTATGCGGTGTATCATTTCCTAATTAATTTTGTTTAGAAATAGATGCTTTTCAGCCAGGGATTTGCCAAAAGCATTTGGTAGCTGGGTATTCAAGGGTTTATGTGTGACTCTTTTTAAAGGGGCTCCTCAAAGCCAAATATTAAGAGTTTTTCATCACCAATTCTTATTTGCCAGTAGATGCAAAATGGTGTTCATCTTCAGGACCATTGCAATCAAATTTCCAAGTGGAAATTATCACCCTCTGTTTCTCTACACACAACACAGAACCCAAGGGTTCACATTTTTTCTCTCTYTCTGATTTATGTATGGCCCAGTCTATAATTTTAATAAAATACATCCTGCTACTGCATAGTGTCCGTGTGCTGTCCTTCAAAGAACAGCTTTAGCCATAACAAACTGCTCTTCATCTGCAYTCCACAAAATGGCAAATACAATGCAAAGCATGGATGAGGGGAAAGCAAGCATGAAAGAGTCCATATGTAATTTCTTTCAAAATTACTTAAACATTTCATGTCAGTTGTTTTACAGAATAATACATAGTTGATATGAGGACAGCATGAACCCAGAAGAGAAAAAGCAAAATTGTAATCGAAGATATCCTTTCAATTTTAAGCCTCAGTCTGAATTACGTATTTTTCTAATCAGAATAACTAACTTTCCATCTTAATTTGTGCATTATGGAAAAGTTCCAGGGACTAAAAGTACAGCAGGAAGACACATTACTCCAGTCTTGTGCAGCTAGACAAGGACTCAAAGATCAGAAAGCATTAAGTATAAYGAAGTCTGAATACCCCATCTTAATTTTTCAATACAGTATTTTTAACTCTGCTTCAGCTACAGCAGGTCTTATTTTTGAAGTTGTTCAGTGTTAATTTAAATGCTTTGCATGATTACAGGTCCATTACAGTTGTACTTAAATTATTTTAGAGTTGAGATACTCTGAAAAGACTGACTTTTTGAATTTGTTTMGCTTTGTCTTTTGCTTGTTAGCTCAGATTACTGACTTTCTGCTCTGGGTTAAAGATAYGTACACTACATTACATCTTTTATCCAATTTGTAGAAAGCCCAAACATGAGACAACCACCTCTTGTTCTCTTTCATAAGCTAAAGACATTTTATATACAAAACAAAACAGCCAAGGAAGTTCTTCATTCCTTCACATTAAGGTGCCACAGTATTACCTCCACTTCTGTTAACACGAAAGCCACTCTGTCTTTTCTTCACTCAGATTTATGGTTTACTTCTCTCCTCTTGTCTGAGGAATGACTGAATGCTTTGGCAAARTATTTTCAACCACCCACTTCTATGCCATCCCTGGATTTTTTTCTTTTGGGTCATAAATTATGTAACTCCCTGGTTGCCTTGTAAGTGTGCTCTCACATTGGATTGTGAGTGTGGCAGAGGAGGAGATGGACACAAACCCAAGCAACAAAGACAAGGCTGACCTAGTAGCGCTGATCATTCTTATATCAACTTGCCTAGAATTGTGACAAACCTGTTTGATTRGGGTTTTATCCCTCTGGTTGTAAATCATTATGATAAAAATGTCAGTTTATTCTCCTATTCCTGTTCTTGCAAAAGGTGTTAAGTATCTAAAAGCCAGACTAATAATAGTCCATGGGACTGCAAAGCCCGCTCCAGCAACAGCAAGGTAGGCTGTGTTGACGAGAGTTTAGCAGAAATTGTTGGAGTGTATTACTGAATTATTCAGTGTCACTGTTATTTTTGTTCTGATTTTCATGGATTCACTGACAGAGGAAGCGACAGTTTGTATACTGAGATCAAGAGATCTCTTGGATTCTTAAAAACATGTGACTGACATAAATGCAATGATCTCTTCCTTGCTTGAATGGACTGATTTGCTGCAGGTAGTCGACAGGAAGGTGATTATGTGAAAATAGGGAATTGGCTGTTTGTACACATCCAGYTGTTTTTAAAAGCAGGACTGGAAGAGTGATCAAGCTTATGTTTGCCCAAGTTAATGAGGGAAAAACAATCACCATAAGTGTAAAAGAACAAAGTACATTGCATATGACAGGCAAGTGACAGRAGACACTAATCTTCATCCAGTTGTTGCATGCTTAGAAAAAAGTAGTGCTTGGGAGACCCATGCTACACCTTTGTATCAGACTCACATCTATATATACTCTTKTTYTTTTTTTTYCTCTGTGCAATGGGACAGTTGTCCATGCTTGTCAGCTCATTCTGATTGAGAGAGGTTGTGAGTTTGAAGGCAGTTCTCTTTGTGGATGCTCTTCTACCTGTTCTTATTTAACCTAATCCGCTCCCAAAAAGGAGTCAGTTTTGTCAGAGGATTAATACTACCAGAGTAAGTTTTTCYTGTTTCAGAATAAGCCTGGTTTTGCACTGGGTTTTTCAGAAACAGCTATTCTGAAAAAAACAGCTATTCAAACAGCCCTACAGTAACTCCACCATGTAGGCGAATCTTCAAGAAACTCATGCRAGACTGCTGGCAGAATGGTATAACATAAAAGCAAGGATACTCTCACGCATGAAGGCAGCAGGCAGAAATTTCTCCGTGAAAATTTATTTTTGAATTTTCTTATYTCAGCACCCCCAGCCATATAAGTTAGAAAGCGTGACACTGAGAAGGGCTCTGGTGCTGGGTCACRCAGTCTGAGGTTTGGCTGTTGATGTGCTTTTGCCCATCCAAGGCAGAAGGGACCACGGCTGCCTTTGTGCCGAGTGAGAAAGACTCCTGCTCGCTTGTGGRTTTGTACAAAGCTGTGCTGCTCCTCTTTCCCGCCACACACAGCCCCATGGAATCGGGGGTATTCCCATAGAAGCCTCATTCCTGACCCCAGTGGGTCTCTGAGGCTGTGCCCGCATCCCTGCCCCTCCRCTGCTCTGAGCACAGCCCAACATCTCAGCCTCCACCACCTTCTGCCCCAGAGGGCCCACAGGAGCTCCCCACTGTGCTCACACAGCTGAAGTGCTGAAAAAAGCATGTTCTGGCTGTGCCTTTATCTGCGTGCTGTGCACCCAGCAGGGACACCACCTTGGGCCACCCTTACCAAAGGGCGTGCGTGCAGCCTCCCTTTTCATTTTCTCCCTGGGAGGCGGAGAAGAGTGAGTTTTAAATACAATGCTGCGAGCTCAGCGCTGCTAAGCAGAGCCTGTCTGATTGCAGATGCAGCTGGAGCTCCTGGCTTAGTCCTGGCACAAGCGAGTTAAGGACAAAAGGTCTTCGCTCCTCTTATGCARAGAGACAATTTCTGTGGCAGCTGAGGGCAGCATTAGTATTCATGCCTTGGCTGGTCTGGCAGCAAGGCRGCTAACTTGATATTAACTGTGGCACAAGGACTGGGGTTTATGGGCTGTTTCTTAACAGATATCCCAGGTAGCCATCCAAATGTCTCTTTATCCTWATTTCCTTGGGGTACGTGCTCTCCTGCTGCTCTAACGGTGGCCTTGGGTTTTTCTTGCAATGGTGGTGATTTTTTAAGAGCCACAGGCAGGTTCCGTACTTGGCTCATCTATTGTCATGTTGTAATTTTGTATTGGTTTATTTTCCAGCTGACCCAAGTTCCTCTTAAGTCATCTGTGTTTACAAATATTTTATTGTGTAATATACTAAARCTTTTTCCCAGCATTTGGACTGGCTATACATTTGTTACTGAGACATTTCCACATTGAATGCATTAAAAACGTGTTACCCTAAATGACTAATGGAAATCATTTCTKCTCCAGGAAGCAAAATGATACTAAGTGAAAGAGAGAAGAGGGTTTATATGGAAACAAGGGTATATTCCCCTTTGCTTGGGCTCACCGAAATGCTCTCTCCCCTTCCCCCTCATCATGTATCTTGCCACAGCACAAGGGTGTGCCAGAACATGTTCCCACAACCTTTCAACCCATTCAGCACAGCCTGCAACTTTCCTGGCTATTTTTGTGTACTCCACTCAATGATTAAGTGCTCAGGACTGTGATAATACATCCTTTCACCACCGGCAACCAACAAAATGCAGTCTCAGCTGCTTGCAGACAGCTTTTCCAGTTCTTCCTCCTTAAAAAGAAATGGATTATCAATAGATTATCCTTCTGATCATATGGGTGTAAAATTGGAGATGTGTTCTTCCTGGCAAGGACTTCAGCTCTTAGTAATCAAGTATTATTCTTGTTGACAATAGGGGTTCTGCATCTAACCAAAGCCCCTTGCAGGCTGCCTTTGCCTGCCATAAACAAAGTGTCTCATCTGCAGCTGAAGATTAACCACGTCTGGGGCRAAACAGGGCAGCTATTTAATTTTACAAAGCTGTAGCAGTACTTTACTGAACACCTCTGGTTCTATAGTGGTATTTTAGCTTTGCTTCAACTTCTCAGTCTRTTTACCAAACAGGCTATAACCCTGCTGATTTATCCCTGGTAGAAAAGCCYCTTTCCACTCTGACATCTGACAGTGTTTCCATTGCTCAGCCACCCTCAGTGCTGTGAGCCCCCACTCCCACAGCAGGATTAATTCAATCTCATATTGACCAGGTGAAAGGGTTGCCATCAATTCATGGTGGTTCATCGTTCTTGTCAGCACCAGAGCAGTCTCCTGGTCTGGGTCAGGGTGCAGTGGTACCACCCCAATAAACCATTCTGTTTGSTCCTGCAATATCAGCTGCCAGGGAGTAAGGCACGACACATCCATTGCAGCTGACAGACAGCTCACTGGCAGCTCACAACACAAATCACCCCTGCTGCACATTACATCCTGGTGAACTAATAAAAATAAAAAACCAAAATGGTAGCACTA